AAAAAAGTAAAAGTTTAACGACTATCATCATACACTATATTTTCAGGCTATAGAAATGTCAAACCCCCAAAACAGATTTTTACCTACCCTACCACACAGTTGTTTTTTTATATGTAATAGAAAACACCACACTTTTTGTTCTTGGTTGGCCTTATTGTTTCAGTGTTCAATTCATTTCATGGAGCCTTTCAGATATCTCTCAGGTTATTCTGGATGGCTGCATGTCTAAGGAAACACATGCTTAATGTCAAAGGGAAATATAATGCTCTGTATAATTTTTGTTTGGGAAACCCCCCCCCCCCCACCTCTGCCCCCATCTCCCACCACCCCCCAGGCTTGACCCTACTCATCCCTCACCTCATCTCCATGAAATCCAACTGGGAGAAATGCAATCTGCGCATCTTTGCCACCATGGGCAAGAAGGAGCAAATGGACAGGGAGAAGATGAACATGGCCAACATGCTCAGCAAGTTCCGCATCAACTGCTCGGAGGTCATCCCGGACCTAAACAAGAAGCCCAAGGAGTAGAGCCTGAGACGGTTCAAGGAGCTGTCCAAACCCTGGATGCTGGATGAGGAAGCAGGGGAGACCACGGAGAAGTTTCCTTGGAAGATCAGCACGGAAGAAGTCACTACACTCAACGAGAAGGTAGAATCTCGAGCCTTCCTGCGCTCAAGCACCCCCCCCCCCCTCCACAGAGAAAACTATCATCAACGAGGGCCATTTGGGCGCCATCGTGGCTTATAAATGCTGGTTCCAAATACACGATAACCAGCATGAGTGAACCAGTGAAGTGTCCCTCATTCCGGCTTCTGCTTGTTTGACTATAAAGCGCCCTCTTTTGTCCATGCATGGAGTACAATACACTTAAAGCTTTCCCAGTGTCCACTTTACGCTAAGTCCCTGGTTTTTGTGATTTTAAGTCCAGTCTTGCAACATCTGTTAATTGTGTCCAACCTTTGACATTCTGGTGGCTGATATTCAATAATGAGATTGATCACTTTCAATCCATTTTTCCGTACAACTCTCAGTTCATTTGATTTGCCAAGTGCATGGAACTCGACTTTATTAAACATCAATAAATCACTCCATTTTTCCGCCTGAAATCTTTCTTTTTCTTTCAGACCAACAGACAGATGCGGATCCGTGAATTGCTTCTCCAACATTCCCAGGAGGCTCAGCTCATTGTCATGTAAGTACACAAAGCCACTACTAACTCAATGGACTCAATTTCATGGTTTAAGCACACAATTCTGTGCTGATGATCTAGCACACTAGCACCGAAATCCTACGCTATCCCTGTAAGCACAGAAGTTATCCTCTGTAACTGATTGTTGACACTTTTGCAAAAGCCGTAATTTCTAAGTGTCATGCAAAAATGTCTGTTGTAGTGTTGGCAATTCCCATGAAAATAATGAGTGGCTAATTTAAGGTCACTTACTTCACAATTACGCAAACCTACTCACTATAGCAGAAACTAGCGTGAAATCCTAAACAGGGGTGGATCTAACTTTGGCTGGGGGGTGCGATGTCAAGTTGGGGGGGGGGGGGAGATCTGGAAAATGTTTAGATTATTTGCGCCGGGGGGGGGGGGGGGGAGGTGACCGTCTATACATGTAGATCCACCACTGTTAAACCACATGCTCGCCATTTGAGAGCTGTGAAAATTACTTTTAATGTCTATAGAGATTGCACGATTTTAAGCCAAGTTGTTTTTTATGGGAGGGGGGGGGGGGGTCATTTAGACATGAAAAGGGCACTCGCCAATTCGTGCTGAAGGAACATGTAGATAGGTTTTTTTTCACTAGTCACCCGGCCTCCGTAAAATCCAAAAGCGGGGCGTAGGGGGACGGGGCTGGGTACCATCTTCCTATGGGGTGCTTTTCAAACCGGCGATAATGGCCACTATCGGACAATTAACCTATCACGGTGGAACTGCGTCAACGCAGCTTGTGAAATATTGTCTAAACATGATATACAAATGGACGCAGAACGCCAAAATCTGAAACAAACAAAAATTAATGTACAAAATTCCATGAGCCGTTTCGCGGATACCACCATCTTTGAAATGGGGGGGGGGGGGGGCATTACAATGAAAAGACATCCCATCATTCTCAGCTACAGTTGCATGATGAGACGTATTTTCATTGTAATTCCCCCCCCCCCCCCGAAAACAATAATTCAAAGTTGGCGGTATCAGCGAAAAGGCTTATAGAGTTGTCTAAGGGGCGTGGTTAACTCGCAAACGGCGGTAGGTCAATGGGTGGCGCTTTTCATGGCGGCACAATTGCTGACGTTTACAATGTACACGAAATACCAAATATTCTTGAAAAGCAGCTGGCGAAACAAGAAACTTTTTTAACAAAACTAAGGACACTTGTGTAAAAACTAAAAGTTACTTGTGTAAAAAGGGCACTCTTTACAGAATTAATACTCGCGGGGGGAGGGGGGGGGATTAACCGCTGGTGCAAAAAATGGGGGCGGGGTGAGCAATAGATCTAACAGTGCTTGTGACCCAGTCTGACTGAGCTACTGTGGTCACCTGATCACAAGTGGTGATCTGATTGGCCAATGTGCACTGTTGATTGACATGCAGGAAGGGTCCATTATAACCTTTTCTGAGTTGATTTCTTGCAGGAGTCTACCTATTCCCAGGAAGCGTACTTGTTCAGCTTACATGTACATGTGCCGGCTGGAGACATTATCCAAGGATATGCTGTCAGCAGGGATGCCAAATATGGCATCCAAATAAAAGTCAATACAAAGCAATTCACATGAAATGATAAAGTGACAAAGGACAATTCCAACCAGTTGAAAGACCCTCCTCACTTGAATGGAATTTGTGCTTTGTTTTGATTGATTTCGTTAAGATTGTTTCTTTACCATCTAACGGGCTCACACTTTCACTGATGTTTTCAAAGTGAGTTTCTTGAATGCAATCAAGTAATGCTGATTAAGAACAATGAAAGTCTTTAAATAATTTGGAGTCTTTTAATCAAGAAACACTTGTCGCACTTCTACGGGCTTTAAAAACAACAGCCAACTCCACATTTTTCATTACTGTGGGCACGTTTCTGTTTCAACTGAAAGTAATTAAAATCATGCTTTTTTTCATAACAAAGCCAAGCGAAAAAAGAGAGTATTTATCAACAATGGTGGTGCTTTTGGTAATCCTCAGAATGAGGTTTTATGCATACTGTTTTCATAGCCAGTCAATTGTTACTTTTACATAATTCTCACATATTGTAACATTTAAAATAATGCAATCATTTAATAAAAACCAGTGTATTCTAATTGCTGTGAATAGCATAAGAATTTTTCAAACAATTGTTAATCCAAATGCCAAGCTTAAAGTCTATAAGAAAATCAGATTCAATCACTCGAAACTTTTTTTGCGACATGAAATAAAAATTGATATATGCAGGGGATTGATTTAATTGACATTATCTGTGCTGGGCATACAGGGAACATAAGGCGAAGAAAATAACATGTTACAGTAAACGCCCTAAAATTATCCAGGTATGTAGCAAAATATTTTGTTTGTTTGTCTGTATGTTTTTTAAACTTTCTTTGCTTTAGGATACAGTTATTGTGTTTAATTAATCTGTTTTAAATACCCAATACTACAAATTAGTTGCATTTGTATTCGGGGAAAAAAACATGTTATTTTATATGTTGACCAAATGTGGCAATAAAAAAAAATGGCGGTCAGAAACATAGCCTAAAAAATCCAGGTTGGTCGAGATAACGCCATAAACACAATTTTTGTTTAGTTGGTAACATTTCTGGATACATGGTGGCACTGCTTTATTGCAAACCTTTTGTTTCTAAAAAAAAATGATGACCCAGCTTGCTTTGAAAAAAATTTCCATCAAAATACTTCCCGATAGGCCTACAATGGGTACACAAAAAAAAATCGTCAAAAAACTTAACGCAAACTTTTCACTATATCTCAATACTCATGCATAAAAAGCTAAATATTTTGTTTTGCAAAAAGTAAAAAAATGGCAAATTCATTGTTGTATACAGATTGGCGCATGCGCAATGCAAAACCATTAATAATAATATTTTGTGACATTGTCATGATTGTCATTGAACATTATTTCTTTTAATTCATTGGTTATTGTCTCGGCAAAATGGACAGCGATTTAAAAAAATCAGCAACACGATGCTCGTGTATCTTTATGTGTTGGATTGTGTTTATTCGGGGTAAAGGAGGAAGCCACTGAATGAGGTGTAGTGATTGGAATTACTAAACGCCCTACCGTACATCGTGAGATACATCGTATCTCCACGCTGCAGAACCACCACCGCGCTCCCAGACACCTGCTCAATGTGACTTGAATCATTGCTATAGCCAGAGACAACCACGTCGCCGTTCTTCCGGAGATGAACGGCCAGGTGGCTGCTGGAAGGATATCTGCACACAGAAAACATGAACACGTAGGTGCCCGGCACTCCACACGTGAACGTGCCTGTCCCGAGATCGAAGCTGGTACCCGGCAGAAGCGTCTCGGTCGCCTGGAAGGGCAAACGGGTGTTGCCAAGCGTATCCGAGTGGCTCGTCCTCACCACGGTGAATGCTACCCACTGGTTGGAGTCGTCTGGTGCCTCCCCTGCCTCACCCTTTTGACCTTTGACACCAGTTTCCCCCGTTGGCCCTACAACACCTGGGACTCCTCTTGGACCGATTTTTCCGGGCTGGCCTATGCCTTCCTCCCCTTGAGGCCCAGCTGCTCCACGCTCACCCATAGGTCCACTCTGTCCAATATCACCCTTTTGACCTGGCTCGCCCTTTGACCCTGGCTGACCTAGGGACCCAGGCAGACCTGGTATGCCGGGAATTGCAGCCGGCCCCTGGCAGCACATCGGACACGCCTGAGACGCAGGACCATCACCGTCCGAGGCAACCGGCCCAGTAACGGAAGCTCGGAGGTTGACGGAGTTACCCAGAAGGAGGGCGATTGAAAGACCGGTTGCCAAGAAGATCTTCATTCTGTTCAGAAAAATGATTTAACTGAAACAAATCAGGTGAGATTTTTTTTCAAAAAAATAGTTTTTAAAAACGGGAAGAGTAGAGAAAAATATTGAGGTTTGATAAACATGAGAACTAATCTAAAATTCTTGACAATCCGCCGTCAGATTTGAAGAAAAAAAAAAAAAAAAATGAGATTGGAAATGGAGGAATCGTTCGAATAATGCATGTTTTCTTTGTTATATAACAGTGGCGTATGAGGGATCAAGGGGCTAACATTTATGAAAAGCCTAGTTTATAAAACCGGTTGTCATGGCAACCCATCGAATCGATTTGTTTTTTTTCGCCCGCCAATAAGAGTTAAGAAAGGTCACCAAAATGCATTCCGATAGGGCGAAGCGTTCCGGAGCTGTAGTATGGGGGGGGGGACGGATTACATCTTGCCCCTTCCCCGGTCCTGATAGAATCATTAATCAAACCTCACCACACCCACCTCGATGGTTCGTTCTTGAAGATCAGGTCCAAGAAGAGATCACAAGGAGTTCAGTAAAGGCTGAAAAAAACATACAAACGAATACTGGTTAAGTTTACATTTTAATACTATTTTATTATCAATTAAGATAAATGAGTGAGTTTTTTTTTCTGATTGGGATCCATTGCCACTCAAAAGCATGATACTCACCAAGTTATTAGGGTCAAGTGATTAAAATAGTAGGTTTTCTCGGCCGAATTCGTCAAGAAAAACAACCTGTTTTAATGTCGCATTGTTCAATTTCTCTCGAATTGACTGATTCGTGAAATAAGCTTTCAATTTGTTTACACGTTATTATTGAACGATTTTTTTTTCAAATTAAAATTTGTGAAGGCATGTATCTTTTTTTTGAGACACTAGTAACTCGGTCAACAGTCTGTTGGCATTCTAAGCTTTTGTTGCACTTGTCCAGGCAAATGTACTTTTAACTCCAGTTCACTATGAGTTTTAAAGCAGAAATGAACTTTTTCATTCACTATGAAATATTATAGGGTTTCCCGCCCAATTTCATACTTTGCTAATAATAATAATAAAACATTTTTATTCAAAATCGCATAAAACATGCAGACCTTTTCACACCCGAATGAACTTTAATAGCGACAGCTCAAAATATTTGAGGTTATTCTTCATTCACGCTTGAAAAGTAAGCAACACATTACGTGACTTGTGCATTGAATTTCTTGTGCTTTAAATTTCAGTCCCGCTCGGGAATTGACTTTGATGCATACGTTTACAAAAGTAGCACGGTTCAATGATATTTGGAAGTTGCATGAGCAAGATATTGTATTAGAGTGATAAAACGGAGTATAAAATGACATGGCTTTTGAAAAGTTTGGATTAAGGAATGTACAGCTATTTCAAAGATTGGAATGCCTGGGAAGGGAATATGAAAAAAGCAGAACAGAACTGTATCAATGTAAAGTGTCAAAGTGATAGAAGGAAATACATTTAGAACACTCGCCGATAAAATACTATGTCAAAATACAGATTTTTATGTAAGGACAATTAAGTCACCAGTTTGTTAACTGTTGTAATCCCTCTTTGGAAGTAAAAAAAAAAAATAACATTAATTTGTTTTTTTTTGTGGCCAATACGATTGGCGATTTGCGAATTGCAAATTAAATAGACTCCTTATTCCATTGCACTTTCGTTGAAAATGAATACTTCCTCTTACAAATTCGCCGACACTCAGTGCAAAATCGAAAACCAACAAAAGAAATGGATTTTCTTTTGCACGAAAAGTTGCCTTCACGCTTTGGTGGGTGTAAAATATTTTTTAAAAAATCGAATGCGCTAAATGCGACCTTTTGCAGTGTAATGAACAGTCTCTCAGATTGGACGAACAAGTTGCGAAATTGGACGGGAAAACCTATATGTTATGATTCCCGAAGTTGATAAACAATCACAAACGAATTACAACGTGATCAACGATCAAAAAAGAATTAGGACAACGGTTGCGAACACAATTCCGATTTAAAAAATAAATAAAAGAAGACAAATTCCAAAGAATCTGATTACACAGCAACTAAATATTGGTGTGATCAATATTTGTTTTCATCTTAGTTCTCTTTTTTTGACAAACTGATGTACGTGCATAAAAAAAATGTAAAGGAAATTTCAGCGTGTATCCGCTATTAGTTCGAGGCACCCTGATGCGTTTAACGAGGAATTTGCAAAGACTGCATGCCAAAATGTCTGGCATAGTTCTTCGGTGGGTGTTATAGGGAGGGAATATCACTCGAGCGATGTTTTCTGTTAAAATTTTGACCAAAAGGTGTATAAATATTGAGAAAAAAATACAGTCTCCCACCAAAATCACTGCTCTGTTCTGATGATTGAGTGAGGAAAATGCCAAATAACAGACACTCACCTCGATGTAACGTTCTTGAATTCTATCACGAAGGGAATCCTCAACACTCAGCAGATTGCGAGCTGGAAATAATACCAACGATAATGAGTCATTGAAAATCCGCTGGGAGATATCCTGGGGGCTGTTGGGGGAGGATAGCTGAATTTCACAAGTAAAACACCCCCAGATCAAAATCTCTGTCGGGCGAAATGTGATCTGGATTGATTATATATATTTTTTTAAGCGGAATGCGTCCTGCATGCAACGGCCCCAAACAGACCCACGCACGAGCAACAATATTCATGTCTTCTTTGAAGGATTTAATATTTTCGAATCAAACGCAGTAACTAACAAAACAAATGCCCAGATTTTCTGAGAGAAATCTGTATGCAAAAAGAATTTAAGGCCACGTAGGATCATTTGCAATTGCCCGGAAAAGTACATTTAATGACAGAAACCTTGCAATGCTGAGAGTGAAGATAAGACTGGTATCAAATACCCGGTGAAAGTATTTCGCCTGATATATCGGTTGAAAACTTTGCAGGTGTTTTTAAAATTAAAAAAAATAGTTAAGGTGTTATAAAGCACGGAATCAAGTAACGAGATCCAACAAAATAGTGCATACGTTTTCTCTGCTTTTTCTCAATGATAGTATCCACTGAGCTGAAACTTCAACAGGTTAGTTGCGAGCTTCTTACGTTTTTAAGCCATTTGTTGCTTCTCACGAAAAAAAATGCATCAAAAGCAAATGATCCTAAGTTTTTCATTGCTTGCATTTAAAATGGTTGGAATCACAATGAGCATACACTTTCTGCATTATCAAGGAAAATCGATCTCATACCAAGGAAGTATAGCGGAAATATTACAGGTGGACACCGCAGTCAAGTTACAGTCATTACATCAAGATATATTTTCTGGATCGGAAATCAGCGCACCGGTTTGGCTATTAGCATCAGCCACCATCTGTTTGTTATCTGAATAATGTCCCATATTTTTTTTCATTATCTGTGTACTCAAAAAAAAGTTGGTTAAAGTGGTCAGAAATTGCCTCAGATCGCACCACAGAGCAATAATAATCAAAAAAAAAAAAAAAAACATTCGGGACCCTTGAACCCGGGCCCTGAACTCCACTCCGTATTTTTTTGGGCCCACTTTTTGGGGGACCAAATGTTTTTGAGGCTACCCCCCAAAAAATTGTGTTCTGGATACGCCCTTGACAGGGAACAGAAGGGACGAATAATGTGCACAGACATCAACGCTGTGCATGATTGCTACAAATGAATCCAACTAGATAAAGCAATTTGAACTTGAATAAAACTGTGAGCATCATCAGGATCCGGTCCGTTTTTGTTTGCGCCCTCTTTATTCAGTGACACGTTCATCCTGCAGTGATTGAATGTTTGATGATCAAACCGGAATGGCGCACTGTGAACTCTAGCGAAATGACACAGTTGAACAACAAAGTTCAAAGGGTACTGAGTATCCACATAAATGATAACACAAAATTAGACAGGCATGTTTGAGATGTCCGGATTTCCTGATAAACGTTCTTCCGTGACCAACTTCTCCATAACTCTTCATCCTGAATTAGTTTGAGTGATTGCCGGAATACAATGTGAGAACATCGAATCAGGATTTCATGTTTAAAAATTAAAATGATAAATTAAACAGGAAAAAACGAGGCAGAAAATAAGGGGGTGGTTGATCATACCTATATATGTTTAGGTTAAAGAGTCGAACATTCGCAAGATTGTTTTCTTTAAACCAAAATGTTAACGCAGTAATTTTTTACCTGAACTATTACAAGTGCGTGAATTATTTTGAATAAGTGCGAATCCCGATCAATTTCAACTATTCTGAAGCACAGCAGGGAACTTGATGTAATGAGCTCTTTAAAAAAAATGCTCCCAAAATTTGATTCAAAACCAGTCGAGTCTGAACAGCTTTGTTTTTGACACTGAATTATTTCGTGTTTGTGTAGTGTTATATCAGACAAGATATATCGTCTTAAAAAACTGAAGACGTTTTCGAAATAGTGTGCCGGTGGGCAGACTATTAACGTGTGTTAGCAACGAAATTCAGTGACAAGAACCAAAAAAATAATCCCTTTAATTTATCTGTTTTGGTCAAATGTATAGCATCAACTAAGCTAAAAGTTCAAAAGTTAGTTGTGCTGCATCATACTTAAGATTGTGAGCAATTTATCAAATGTTGTTCTCTAACTGGTTCAAGGTTGCTTGAACCTGTAGTTATAGGAATCACAATGAGCATACAGTTTCTGCATTAGTGAGGGAAATCGATCTCATACCAAGGAAGTAGAGGCGCAAACATTACAGCTGGACTACCGCAGTCAAGTTACAGTCGTTACATAAAGATTTATTTTCCGGATGGGAAATCAGTGCACCGGTTTGGCTCTAGTAAGCCACCATCTGTTTGTCAACTGAAACTTGTCTAACAAAATATTTCAGATTTGTGAAAATCTGTACCAATCACCAAAAACTTGCGAAAAATAAGCCAAAAATCGATATGGCTGTTTGTCCAAATATCCAACAGAATCTCAGCGGCATGCTGAGTGGAACCCTACATGCAAATACATGAGTGAATTCATCGAGAGCTTTTGCTTCAATCTCTTCAGGCGAACAGAAAGCCTGAGTAATTTGTACAAACACCAACTC